GTGTGTGTGTGTGTGTGTGTGTGTGTGTGTGTGTGTGTGTGTGTGTGTGTGTGTGTGTGTGTGTGTGTGTGTGTGTGTGTGTGTGTGTGTGTGTGTGTGTGTGTGTGTGTGTGTGTGTGTGTGTGTGTGTGTGTGTGTGTGTGTGTGTGTGTGTGTGTGTGTGTGTGTGTGTGTGTGTGTGTGTGTGTGTGTGTGTGTGTGTGTGTGTGTGTGTGTGTGTGTGTGTGTGTGTGTGTGTGTGTGTGTGTGTGTGTGTGTGTGTGTGTGTGTGTGTGTGTGTGTGTGTGTGTGTGTGTGTGTGTGTGTGTGTGTGTGTGTGTGTGTTGTGTGTGTGTGTGTGTGTGTGTGTGTGTGTGTGTGTGTGTGTGTGTGTGTGTGTGTGTGTGTGTGTGTGTGTGTGTGTGTGTGTGTGTGTGTGTGTGTGTGTGTGTGTGTGTGTGTGTGTGTGTGTGTGTGTGTGTGTGTGTGTGTGTGTGTGTGTGTGTGTGTGTGTGTGTGTGTGTGTGTGTGTGTGTGTGTGTGTGTGTGTGTGTGTGTGTGTGTGTGTGTGTGTGTGTGTGTGTGTGTGTGTGTGTGTGTGTGTGTGTGTGTGTGTGTGTGTGTGTGTGTGTGTGTGTGTGTGTGTGTGTGTGTGTGTGTGTGTGTGTGTGTGTGTGTGTGTGTGTGTGTGTGTGTGTGTGTGTGTGTGTGGTGTGTGTGTGTGTGTGTGTGTGTGTGTGTGTGTGTGTGTGTGTGTGTGTGTGTGTGTGTGTGTGTGTGTGTGTGTGTGTGTGTGTGGTGTGTGTGTGTGTGTGTGTGTGTGTGTGTGTGTGTGTGTGTGTGTGTGTGTGGTGTGTGTGTGTGTGTGTGTGTGTGTGTGTGTGTGTGTGTGTGGTGTGTGTGTGTGTGTGTGTGTGTGTGTGTGTGGTGTGTGTGTGTGTGTGTGTGTGTGTGTGTGTGTGTGTGTGTGTGTGTGTGTGTGTGTGTGTGTGTGTGTGTGTGGTGTGTGTGTGTGTGTGTGTGTGTGTGTGTGTGTGTGTGTGTGTGTGGTGTGTGTGTGTGTGTGTGTGTGTGTGTGTGTGTGTGTGTGGTGTGTGTGTGTGTGTGTGTGTGTGTGTGTGTGTGTGTGTGTGTGTGTGTGTGTGTGTGTGTGTGTGTGTGTGTGTGTGTGTGGTGTGTGTGTGTGTGTGTGTGTGTGTGTGTGTGTGTGTGTGTGTGTGTGTGTGTGTGTGTGTGTGTGTGTGTGTGTGTGTGTGTGTGTGTGTGTGTGTGTGTGTGTGTGTGTGTGTGTGTGTGTGTGTGTGTGTGTGTGTGTGGTGTGTGTGTGTGTGTGTGTGTGTGTGTGTGTGTGTGTGTGTGTGTGTGTGTGTGGTGTGTGTGTGTGTGTGTGTGTGTGTGTGTGTGTGTGTGTGTGTGTGTGTGTGTGTGTGTGTGTGTGTGTGGTGTGTGTGTGTGTGTGTGTGTGTGGTGTGTGTGTGTGTGTGTGTGTGTGTGTGTGTGTGTGTGTGTGTGTGTGTGTGTGTGTGTGTGTGTGTGTGTGTGTGTGTGTGTGTGTGTGTGTTGTGTGTGTGTGTGTGTGTGTGTGTGTGTGTGTGTGTGTGTGTGTGTGTGTGGTGTGTGTGTGTGTGTGTGTGTGTGTGTGTGTGTGTGTGTGTGTGTGTGTGTGTGTGTGTGTGTGTGTGTGTGTGTGTGTGTGTGTGTGTGTGTTGTGTGTGTGTGTGTGTGTGTGTGTGTGTGTGTGTGTGTGTGTGTGTGTGTGTGTGTGTGTGTGTGTGTGTGTGTGTGTGTGTGTGTTTATTAATAGTGGCGTTTTATTATTATTTAATTATGTTGATATTGTTAGATTTCACAGTATTGCCATAGGTCACATACCTACCTATTCTACATTTCATATTCCTATAACTGCAAGCTCAAACACCACAGTACACAACTACAATCATACCCTGACCTTTAATTCATAATAATTTTTCCAAAATTAATCTACAATAAAATCATAATTCATATTTACACCCAAGTAATACAACTGTTCAGCGGCATTTATCTTAACTCAGATATTCATTCATAATTCCACCAGCAATATATTAAACGATTTATTCTGTTCGCTTTCTATATCTTATACAACCGCACATACATCAATAATTAACATCTTAGTTTCTAATAATAAAGAATCCAGCATCTTACACATATCTGCTTTCCATATTCCAGGTACCCAATGTTGATAAAAACACATAGGACCTTGATATTTAAATTTATTAGCTCTTCATCCTTGAATCGATATGTGTATAGATGGTTATCTACCTACACAATTAAAACTTTTATCTAACTTCAATCCACCCACAATAATACCTATTCTATTCTATATTTCTTCCAACAAATGTTTAGGGTAAATCGCACTTTAAATTCCAACATATTTATGGTTGCGACTGTTATAATTAATCAAGTTTTAACATATTTAATTGTACACAATGTTGTACAATATATTTATAACTTAATATTCCTAGTTTTGACCATTAAAAATGTAATTTGAAATTAATTATACATTACTTATATTCATTAAAGGGATATTACTCATGTATTTAGTGGTCTCAAACGTGTAAATCCAGTAAGTAACAACATTTTTGTTATAAACTTGGTCAAAATTTTAACTTTCACGTTTGCTTTAACCAATAGGGTTTTTTATATTAATATACCTTTTATAAAGGAATTTTTTTAAATAAATTTTTTTTCTTAAAATATAATTAAATTGTTTTTAAGTTACATTGATAACTATGAAGTGTCTATGAGGTCTTTAATTCTGACAGAGCGTCAAAGTCAGATAAATATTAAATTAATAAAATATAAATAAATAACATTTATTTATTTAGAGCCCCTTTCCATATCAGTTGGCTCAACGTTAGATTGATAAGAAAATTTAATTTTAGAGAACAAAAATAAAAGCGCAGCGTAAATTTTAGAAGTTTTAATACATGAACAATGTTTTTGAATTTCCAAATTATAGAAAATATTTTAAAACGTAAGTTTTGAAGCTTCGATAGAATGTGATGCTTCCTCAATGAGCATAAGCGTGCTTGAATTGTTACTCGCGGGGATAATTATTCAGATTTTAAAAATTGGAAGTAGTAATAATGTATAAAAATACGTTCAAAGAATTAAAAAAAACGAGAGTTCAACTATTAACAAATCACGTCTTTATAGAAAAATTAAAATACAATTTTATTTGCTTTAAAATTAATACAATAAAATATAGTTGAATTCAAGTTAATTTTTTAATAGGTATCAAAATAATGCCACAATAAAAATCTTTATGTTTTCTCCTAAATTTGCTACCCAAATAGTTCGATCGTCAATATTATTTGGAAACCTACATAGAAAAATAAATGAGTTTTATTCATTTTACTAATTTATTTGTATCCATGAGAAATATTAAATTAAAAAGGTACTAAACAGATCTTTTTTAATTAGATGATGTCTACTTACAATTTAAAAATGTCTACTAATTTCATGAATTCATATCTTATTTAATACATTAATGAACATGAATAAACCCAATGATACGCCTATTAAAATGTAAACAAACACGCTTCCTCAGTTCCTCATCTTAAATAATGTAAATAGACAGTACTTACAAATGAAATGAGAGATCGGGATGTAAATATTTCGTTTATTTTATTTCACTTTTCACAAATATCACTCAAAATACAGTCAAAATATCGAAAAACAACTTTTTCTCATCTACTGTAAAAAGTAAACAAACATGGAACAGCATTTGAAGTTTGACGTAGAGCCATAAGACAGAGAAATGTAAACACCGTTGTCATTTATAAATAGTTTTCAGTGCTTCTACATATAGAATAATTTATTTATATTTATTACACGCTATTATTAAATAATAATGCACACTATGTGCACACTTGATATTTTGATTACAATTAAATATATTAATATAACCAATAAATTATTATTTTGGTTTGATAGCACCTGTAGAGTATAAAATACGGAGTAATATTTTCAGCGACTCGCGGATAAGAAATTTTAATAAAAAACGTGACAACAGTTGAAGGTGCTGGGAATGTGACCTATTCAAATAATTTTGACTTCACAATTTTATGTAAATAACTGAGTCCATCTGTGTTTATACGTCCATGAAAAATATTTATTAAACAGAATAATAATAAATATAAAAACGCATAGAATATGCAATGTATGTAAGATTTAAAAAAATGTGAAAGTTTACCACTGAGTTACATCCCCTTTATAGTACAGTGAATGAACGTAAAAATCAACTATTACCTCCGATTTCAGTGAACCTCCATCGATTTGCATGAAAATTTGGGATTGAGTATATTTTACCCTCAACTTTAAAAGTGACAAATACTCAATTTGCGCTTTTTGCATTTTAGGGGTGAAATCCACCCCTTTTGTTAAAAATGGTAAAAAAATGTATATTTAAGCATTCTGGCATAAATAATCTCGATTAATTAAATGAAATCAATATTTTGCAACATTTATACATACACATTTATAAATACACAAATCTTATTCATTTTCTTCTAATGTCTCTTTTAGTTTTTTGTTTTCTTCTAGCAAGTCCTCGTATTTTGTCCTTTACTTGTACTGGATACATAAGACAAATCAATGGTTACAAGATTAGTTTTTTCCTTTTATGTGAATGGACCTATTGATAATTTTATTAACATTTACACTAATTAATTTATTAACAACTACTACTAATTTGCACCTAATTTATTAACAACTAATTTTAAAGAATTAATTCAATCGAAAGTATAAATAATAGTAGAGCCGAACTATTTCTTGTCGTAACGATCTGCTCTAAATTTTACTATAGAGCGAAATTAATACAGTTCAAGTATAAAAGCTTCGCTTCAATAATTATATTTTATATATGTTCCTTTAAATTTTGCTAGTACATTTATAATAGAATGTAATATCTTACCTTTTTTTTTTAAGTATTTTTGTAGTTATTATTTTACTTTATTTATACGCTATTTACTTTTTTTTAGATATAATTGTCCTTTTATAAAAAGAGATATGGCATAGTTGGTGTTCCCGAAAACCTTCAAATGGATATTTATGTGAGCTATAGGAAACAGAGATGCACTATTGAATAGTACTGTGTTCATCACAACTGGGGTTTAGTTCATACTTAATTTTAAAGACTGTAAATATGTAATAATTATTTGTGATCTGCCTTAAATGATGACACACTAAAAGTTACTAAAATATGTGATATAAAAGATGATATGATGTCATTACGCCAAATTAAAGTGTTGACATGTTATATCTAGACTGAAAAAATCTAAATTTTTTAATGTGTATAATTTCTATAAGTTATTAAGGCTTTTCAATGAAATTATTTTAAGAAAATCATAAATCGAGATTTTTATATAAAAGTCAAAATCTATTTTGTAGGTTTTAACTTTTGAAAGTAAAGTAGTAACTAGAATGACAGGAGAACTAACATCGTGGCAGGTTACATTTTTCCTTACTATATTTCTAATTCAACTCTTTGTCAACCATTTTCCATCCACTCCTGAATGTAGGTCCCTCCCAATTGCTTCCATCTTTCTCTATCTTGCGCCAATCTAATCCACTGTTTCCTGCTACTGCTCTTCTGTCATCTACCCATCTTTTTTGAGGTCTTCTCATGCTTCTTGTTGTCGTCCTTGGTCTCCATTCTAGAATTCTCCGTTTTCACCTGTTGTCATTACATCGGGCTACGTGATCCGCCCAGCGCCATTTCATTTTTGTAATTTCTTCCACAATATCCCTAATCTTCGTTCTACGTCTTATCTAGGTGTTTCTAATCTTGTCTCTCAGTGATATTCCAAGCATGATTCGTTCCATTACTCTTTGCGTTGTTTTTAATTTTTTAGCATCTTTTTGGTAAGGACTACTGTCTCCAAGCCGTAGGTACAAATTGGTAGTATGCATGTGTTATACACCTTTTTCTTTAAGTTTTCAGGAATGGAGGTGTTTTTCAAGATATTTGCTAGCTTGCCGAAAGCGCCCCATGCCAGTTGTGTTCTTTAATTTCAGTATCTTGATTTGGCTTTCCTAGTTTGATGACATGACCTAGATATACGTAATGTTCAACATTTTCTATGGTATGCTTTTGTATTGTTATATTTGCCTGGTCTCGGCTCAGTATTTTTGTTTTACTGTAGTTCATTTTTAAGCCTACTGCTCCTGAAACTGCATTTAATTGTTGTAGCATATGATTTAGTTCTTTGATATTATCGGCTATTAAAAGTATGTCATCTGCGAATCTCAAGTGGTTTAAGTATGATCCGTCGACGTTGATACCCTTGTTGTTCCATTCTAGTTTCTTAAAAATGTCTTCTAGAGCAAGGGTAAATAGTTTGGGAGAGATGGTGTCTCCTTGTCTTACTCCCCGTTGTAGCTTATGTAATTAGTTTTTGTGCTTTCGTCCAGCTTTATCTGCATGGTGGTATTTTCATGTATGTTTTTAATTATGTTAGTGTATCTTGAATCTATACGTGCATTTTCTAGAGATTCAAGCACTGCCCATAATTCGATGGAATCGAGAGCTTTATGAAAATCAACGAACGCCATATGAATTGAAACATTATACTTGGTGCATTTTTCTACTAGTTTTCTTACGGTGTGCAAGTAGTCTATGGTACTAAAATGTTTTCTGAATCCAGCCAGCTCAATAGGTTGATAGAAGTCGAGCTTATGTGTTAGGCGGTTGGTTATGATTTTAGTTAGTAATTTACACAGATGTGATAGAAAGGGTATTGGTCGGTAATTCTCGATGTTTGCTTTGTCTCCTTTCTTGAATAGTAGAATGATTTCGGAGTTGTACCATTCTTGAGGATTCTTTTCTTCATCGATTACTTTATTAAATAAAATATTTAATACCTGTTCCATTTTTCTGCCACCAATTTTCAACATTTCAACTGTGTTTTATCCTCTCCCGGATATTTATTCGTTTTTAGTTGATTTAGTTGACTTCTGAGCCGGTGTTAATTATTGTTCGTTCAGTACGTCGTTGTTGTGGTTGTGTATTTACCGAGTATAATTTAGTGTAGAATTTTTCAATGGCCTCGCTTATTTTCTTTCTGTCTCAAAACGGTGACGTTTTTCTCATTTTTTATTTCTATGATTTTTGTTATGCCACTTGAGTTTTTTGCTTTCAGTACTTTCATATTGCAGTTATCTTGTATTATATCTTTTATTAGATTGTTAGTATAGTTTCTATGATCGTTTCTAATTTCTTTCTTCACGTTCTGTTTAAATTTTTGAAGCTGTCGGAAGTTCGATCTGTTATGTTTCGTCTTTCTTGGAGTAGTTTAATTGTATTAGGTTGGAGTTTAGATGTTTTGGCTGTTTTCGTGTTTGAGCATATTTTCTTAACCGATGTTACCGTTACTTTTATTTTATTGGGTAGTCTGTTTATATCCATTTGTTTCAGTGTCTATTGATTTTAGTCTTGTGCTTAGCTCTTTTTGGTATTCTGTACAGGACATATCGGTGGTTGGGTATCGTTTTCGTTTAATAAGTTTGTTTCGTTCTACTCTCGTCTGTTTTTTAATATCCGCTCTAACCAATCTATGGTCACTTCCGTTATAGAATTCGTTTAGTACTGTCACGTCGGTGCATATGTTTTTGTTATTGGAGAGTATGTAGTCTATTTCGTTCTTAGTTTTCTTGTCTGGGCTGATCCATGTACATTTACGTTGTTTAGATTTTTTAAATAAAGTTATGAGACACTGTGTGTCTAAGTCAACAGATCTGGGAAATTAGCAGGACAGATATATAACATAACATTTAATTGGTTGACAGCAGTTTTGATATAAATTTGACACCTGTGTTGACCTCAATTGACATTTCCATTAGATGTTTTGAAAATTATTAACTGTTAGTCATTATTGTCATTAAGTCTGTCTGGAAGCTATTTAACCTATTAAATTTTATAGACTGACAAATCAGTATTTTAACACCTTATCTGCGATACGGGAAATCTGTATTTTGTACTTTTTTGCATTACATTTCGCCGGCGAAATATAATTTATAGTACTTCTTCACTAAATGTCCCCTAATATAAAATTAGTTGTATTTTCCGTGTGAAAATTGTTATATTTCCGGAATTGATAAACCAGAAGGATGTAATCTCTGTTTTGTTTATTAGCTGTTGCAGCCTAGATATCATCTTGTTGCGATCTTCCTTCGAAGGTTGGCGATGCATTTGACTATAGCTGTACGTGAAATAGCTCCTCTGAAGATTTCGGATGATGTTTTGCCGAGACCTTGACGTAAATAGTTGAGCCAGGAATTCTGTCTTCTCTGTATTAACTTTTTCCTCTGAGTTTTCCTTCGATGATCAACCTAAGAAGTTCATATTTATCCTTTGTTATTTGTTTTCCGATGTACATTAGCGTATACTCTTTGATCGTTGGATTTAGAATCATAGATTTATGTATTTGGTACTTTTAATATACTTTTATTGTCACCAATTTTATAGCATTTGCTATATAGTTGCAACTTGAACTTTCCAATTAGTTATTTCTGACAAATAAAACGCCGAATACAAAGATATACACTATGTGACCATGCACATATTATTTTTTTATTATTATTATTTGAACTGAAAGATCTGTAGAATATCTTCCATTTTCACTAATATTTGTAAGATTTACGTCGTAACATACTTACCTGTAAATAATTGAGACTATATAGGCGAGAAGTTTACCCCTATAAGCCGAGCATAAACCAACTAAATGTTTTTTGCATTTATACCACACCAAACCTTTTTTATTCGATTTTATATTTCTTTTTAAAGCTTAAATACATAGTCGCGTGTCGCGTAGAAATCTTTGTTTAAATTTAAAACTACATTTTTAGTAAGATAGAAACCACGTATCCCTAAAATATTCTTACTTGTACGTGAAGGCTAAAGATTATAAAGCTTTTTGTAGAATTGCAATTCATTGAGTAGTTTTTTAGGAAAAAAGTCCCAAAAATCACTAATTAAGGCATTTTTGAACAAAAAATTGAATATAGCTCGAAAAGGAAGCATTTTTCGAAGAATTATCGAGAAAGAAAAAGTATTTATGTCGATAAGATGCCCCTATAAATAATTTACTCAAAGGGGTTCAGGAAATTATTTTTTTTTGTTATAACATACTTGTTAATTAACAATTTCCGGCCTACTTGGAAAATTAAAATATAGATATATATATATATATATATATATATATATATATATATATATATATATATATATATATATATATATATATATATATGTGAACTTGAAAAAAATGTATAGAATCGAATAAAAAAAATAGTCAGTATATTCTGTTTCTAAGCGTTTTTTTTTATGGGTAAACCGGTCGCCCAATATATCAGCTTTTTTATCATAAAAATATTGTTTGTTGTATTTATTTTTGGCAGATGTAAAAGACGCATTATGTATAAATGATAATGATTATGTGCAACAAATTTAGTGTATAGTTTATAATAAACATTATTTTCTTCCATTTGAACATGTTCATTTAAATACATACCTTTTTATTTAACCAAAGAGCATTACTTAAAAACTATTACTTCTAATAACTATACTGATTTGTTGAAAAATATCTGAAATCAATAAAATAATATTCTCGTAAGAGATTAAAGATTTAGAAATTATTTATGATAGTAACCTTAGTTACTATCATAAATAATTTTGATTACTGAAAAGTTCTTTGATTAACAGCAGAATTGACCACAGATATACGGAACTAATAGCTAATATAATATAAGGAAGCCAAAACAACAATTAAAGTATATGAAGGAACAAAATCAATACAAATAAATAGAGGCGTGAGACAGGGTGACACAATATCACCGTTAACTTGTCAACCAGGCTCTGGAAGATATTTTTAAAAGATTAGAATGGGAAGAAAAAGGTATAAAAAATTGTGGACAATGCTTGAACCATCTAAGGTAAGCTGATGACATCGTATTGATAACCGATAAAAAAGAAGAATTATTTGAAATGATGAAAGAACTGGACGTAGAAGCTGGAAAGATAGGCCTTAATATGAATTACAGCAATACCAAAACAATAACAAATACAGATGAAGACATCACAATGGGAATCGGACAAGATGAAATAAAATAAGTTCAGGATTATATATATCTGGGTCAAACTATAAAACTTAACAGAAAGAAAGAAAGAAAATAAAACAACAGAGATAAAAAGACTAGTTAGATTGCCATTGGCGGCATTTGGCAAACTAAGCTACATTCTTAAAAACAAAAGATATCCACAATATCTTAAGACCAAAGCATACAATCAATGTGTACTTCATGTTCTTACTTATGGTTCCCAAACGTGGACATTTACAAAAGCAGACATGGACAAAATCATAAAAACCCAAAGAGCAATGGAAAGACAAATATTGCACATAAGACTGATGGATAAAAAGAGAAACGAGTGGATGAGAGAGAAAACAAAAGTGAGGGATGTTAGACAAGAAGTTGCAAAATTGAAATGGAGATTTGCCGGACACAATATAAGACAAAAAGAAGACCGATGCAACAAAATTCTTATAAGTTGGAGACCCCAAATAAGTGGGAATATAAACGAAGAGGTAGGCCCCAAATGAGATGAGCAGATGATATCAAGAAGCACGTGGGCTCTAGATGGATGACTGTAGCGACAGAGAAGAATGAAAAAGGATTGGGGAGGCCTATGTCCAAAGATGGACCGAAGAAGGCTAACTAGATAAATAGATAGTAACCTTAGTGGAATGCTCATCTCGTAATTATAACTGTCAAAATAACAATGATTCTATGGATGTACCATAGCCTTCTGACAAAACATGAAATTTAAAATCATCGCGTCATATATGACGGTTTTCAGACCCATAAATCTGCGCTTGTTTGGCGAAATACAACAACGTAACTTACGGCAGAAACTCAGTGCAAGCTTTATAAGCCGTGCTTTACCTTCCATCTCCAAACATACATGTTGTAACGTGACTTGCGCGGAAGGGATATTGTGAGTTAAAAAAGAATTACATGTGCAAGGTGTTTTGGAGGATACAACGGTGAGCTTTGTTTTCAATCTCATTAGGTATCATCGGAGTGTCATATGCAGAGGCTCTGAATCGAAATTTAATCTCTATCATAATACAATAATTATAACATGACGGGATAGATTTTGTTTCGATTTAGAGCGAATGCCTATGTCGGTCTGATGGGACCTAAAGAGTATATTACTATATTATATAAAAGTAATACGTATTAGCGGCTTGCGGGTGCCCTGCACCGAAATGAAAATCTAATACCGTCAGTATGTTTTAGTTCTTTACTTTGTTTGGTGAACCAGAAACTGAATTCACTACGAATTTTAACCATGATAACCGGCATGTGGAATGCATATTGTGGATTCCCTTGCCGAGTAATTTATCAAGCTGTTTCCTTTGCAAGTTTTAGAAAGCACAGTGGTAAATATTTGAATTTAGTTTTGCCAAGTAGGAAATCTTAGGATTCCTAGTGTTGTTATAAAAATAATTATTTACAGACGTTACAACGCCATCTAATAACATTAGAAATCCTAAGATTTCCTACTTGGCGAAACTAAATGCAAATGTTTACCACTGTGCTGTCAGATACAAAACTTGTAAAGCAGACAGATTGATACTTACTTTTTCGTGTCGTCGGGATCCGACTACAGTTTTTCTGCCCAATATCGGGGTACGTCTACACCCTTTTGTTCTCGGACGCGACTAGTTCACGTTCGAGACGCATCGCCCCGCCCCTTATTTTTCCCGTTGGCCCCTCCCTGATCTGGAAATCCCTAATCGCTACTTCAGAAAGTATAAAAATAGGCGATTTTCAGGTCAATCAAGTGAGTCCTTCACGGGCTCTCCGAGAGCGTAGTGCTCTCGGGGCTCTGCTTTCTTCTACTCTGTGGCTGAGTTATTATTCAACTGAATATTTGGTGTTTTATTTCGACCTATTTTGGTTATGTAAGAAATAACTTGCCTTTATCAAGGCAAGTCGCCGATAGAAGAAAACCTGATGGTTTATTTCGTCGAATATCTTCGTCATGTAAGAAATAACCCGTCTTTTTCAAGACGGGTCCATCAGAAGACAACTTTCACAAGTCCATAACCTGAAAGTGGACTTGGGTAGAGGTGCTTTCGTAGACGTTCTCGAACCCCTCTACAGAGCACATGGTGATACAGAAGGTGATTTAGACCCTTTCCATTTACCCCGAGGTGACACTTTGTATTTGCGAACCATAAATCGTCGAGGGTGCACTGTGATGGGCAAAGTCTGCATACTCTCAGATGCTCCACGTTCTGTATTTCCTCACATTCACAAAGTGCGTCGCTATCTGTCTTGATGCCCCATTTAATGAGGTTCTGTTTTACAGGGGCAACACCTGTGCGTATGGGGTATAGTTTCCGCCAGGTTCTCCGGTCATTCATGGAACGCCAGGTTCTCCGGTCATTCATGGAACGCCAGGTTCATTCCATTAGATAAAAATTTGAATGTAGTTTCGCCAAGTAGGAAATCTTAGGATTTTCAAAGTTGGTAATGACAGAGTTTGGTACTAAAAGTAGGGGGGACAATAAAGAGCGCTACCTTTCTACTTTTTCGATGGACGAGGAAAACTCGAAACTTGTCTATGGGAAGATTAATTTAATAAATATTCAAAATAATGACAAATATGCTAAACCTCTCCAAAAATAGTCGGATACTGCTTACATAATTTACCGTTCTGAAGTCCTTAAAAAAATGATGGTATAGTCGAGTTACTACAAATGGATTTTCCTTTTGCCTATTTGTATGTAACCACCAGGTAAATTAGTATAGCATCCTCTTTTGTCTCTCGATTGCACCGTGCATCATGTCGGAATTTATCTGGGTGTGCCCTTTCTTAAGGTATTTTTGTACAGCTGTTTTCTTCTGCTTTAAACAAAAGTTTAAAATTGTATTAGCTAGAGTCACATTACGATTTTGGTAGGTACATCTATCAATGAAAATAATTATTTCTCGTACGTTTTCCTCAAGACAACTCCCTTCAATCTAATTTTCTAAAATATTTATGATCACACTAGTAAATTTGGTACTGGTAAGATTCGCTTCCGACTCATCCCAAAGAAAACAAGTCTCTCGTTTTGTGGGCAAGTTATAGAAAGTGAAATTGTATATTGCCAACTTTTTTCTGTAATATAGAGAAGAAACATTGGACTTAAGACATAAAAGCATGCCTGTAAATCCATTGTTAATACAATGCTTTCACTGTTTTTGTCTTTAATTTTACCGTTCTAGCAACCATAAAGTTGACATTTACTTTGCCATAATGGTTCTAGATATAATTTACTATATTTACTATACCATATTCATTTAACAGAAAAGTGGCTATCAACAAAAGCATGCACAGAACACGCGAAACCTGATGTTTATATAATTGTACAGGGTTGTATTAAGATTCTAGCAGTCTTTAACATCTGAATTTAAAATGAATTAATTTATAATTTTTAGGATTACTGTTAAAATAATAGTAATCAATGATTAATCTTCCAAAGAAGTATATTAGTTTTTATAAACTGTCATTCACACATCATTAGTTAATTGTGGTATTAATCAAAAGGCAAAAAATAGAATTTTATACATTTTAGATACATTTTACGCTTTCTATACATTTTACGCTTTAAGATCAATATTTGGAAATAAGTAATAATATTATCATTAGTGATATACAAAGAGACCTCTTCTTGTGTAAAAGTTAGGGATAATATTTATACATATATTATTAGGTAGATAGACTTTACATTAACACTAATAAATAAAATTTATTAAGTCGACGTTCCGATTTCGATTTAACATTTATTTGTGTCAGGAGAAACGAATGTATATTTAGAAGAATTGTGACGTCACTATTTTTGACTTTGATGCAGGTTATGTCGAAGATGGCTCGAAATATCAAAATACCGTTTTCAGATTTTAATTCAGGAGACAAAACTATATATGAATCCATCGATTGATCGTCCTCAAGTATTGCATAGGCAACAACGCACAAACGAACATACTTTGCGGATGTAAAACGAAAGGTTTTATAATTAAATATAATTGAACAGATATATTAAAAAGGTCAATAGTCACAATCACTATCTTTATTTTCAAGGTGTTACAGAAGCAACCAATTTCGAGGTTTACAATATTTGCCTCATTCTCAGGCAAAGCAAAGAGTTTGTTTTGTTAAAAAACAATAATATAGTTATCGGCAATAAGAAGTTTTCCGCTTACATCCAGGGTACTGTCTGTTTCCATCTTTTCCTTTATGACACTATCTATTGTAGTAAGGTGATATGTGGATCATTATATATGTTGTAAATAAAAGGCTCTTGGGAATATGGTTGAGCATTAATGTGTTCTAACCGTGTAACTGTTGCTAAAGGTTGTCTTTGATCCTTAAAATACTTTTTGGATGTTCTAGTTTTTGTTGTGAAAGTTTTTTTTATTATTAAAAAGGTAGGATTATC